TCATCTGCCAGTAGAGATATTTTTACTTCTTCCTGACCAATTTGGATGCCCTTTATTTTCTTTTTCTTGCCTAATTTCTGCCCAGCCTCTTAACTTTGGTATTCCCAGGGCTCAGTCTTTGGTTATGGTCTCTCTGATACCTATACTGACTCCCTTGGAGATCTCATTCAGTCATATGGCTTTATACACTACTTTTTTGCTAACAACTTTCAAATTTATATTTCTGGCTCAGACCTGTTTCTGACATCCATACTTATGTCTCCAACTGCTTACTCACATCACTACTGGATGTCTAATCAATATCTGAAATACAACTTGTACAAATCCCAACCACTACCCCTTCCCTTCACCACTTCCCCAAAACCCCTGCTCCTTCTCCACCTCCTGCATCTCAGTTGGCGGCAATTCCATCCTTCCAGTCCCAAACAAAAAAACAAAACTCATTGCCACAGAGTCTGATCCCAACTCATAATACCCTTATAGGGCAGAGTAGAACTGCCCCCATTAGGTCTTCCAAGGCTGTAATCTTTACAGAAGCAAACTGCAACATCATTCTCCCCTGGAACAGCTGGGGGTTCGAAGCATTAACCTTTCAGTTAGCAGCCAAGTTCTCATCTACTGCACCATCAGGGGACCCTTCCGACAACTCAGGCAAAATCCTTGAGGTCATCCATAGCTTTTTTTCCCTCTAATGGCCTACATTTAATTAATTAGGAAGTCCTATTTTCTCTTTCTTCAAAATATATCTAGAATATGATAATTTCGTGCAACTTCCACCATCATCATCTCATGGATTACTGCAATAGGCTTCTAATCAGTCTAATCCTCACTTCCTTACATTCTGTTTTTGATTCAACAGCTAGAGTGACCCTTTAGATGGCACGTTATATCACTCTTCTGCTCATACTTCTACTAATTTTACACATATACCTACCCTATGACCCAACAATTTCACACCTCTCTCTATATATATATATCCAAGAGAACCGAGCATGTATGTCCTTAAAAAGACTTATACAAGAATGTTCATAGTACCTTTATTCAAAATAGCCCCAACTCAAATGTCCATCAACAGAAGAATAGATTTAAAAAACTGTGGCATATTAATACAATGTAATAATGCATAACAACAAAAAAATTACTGATACATGTAACAAAATGAATGAATGTAAAAATACTGTGCAGAGCCAAAAAAAAAAAGCAGACATGAAGTACTATACACTGGAAAATCCCATTTTTATAAAGTATAAAAGCATACAAAACTAATCTATGTTAATATAAATCAGAATAGTGGTTGTCTCTTGGAAATTGTTGGTATTGACTGTGAAGGAACACAAGAAAACCTTCTGGGGTCATCATAGCTTTCTATATCTTGATCTGGGTGGTGTTTATATGAAGGTGTATATGGATAAAGATTCATTGAAACACAAATTTATGCATTTTACTTTATTATGTAAGTTGTATCTCAGAGTCCTTGAGTGGTGCAAATGATTAATGCACTCAGTTGATAACTGAAAGGTTGGAGGTTTGAATCCACCCACAGGCACCTCAGAAGCAAGGCCTGGTGATCTGCTTCTGAGAAACAAAACATTGAAAATGCTATGGAGCACAGTTCTACTCTGACACACGTAGGGTTGCCCTGAGTTGGAAATGACTCAATAACAAATGGTTAAGTAGTATCTTGACAATTTTTTAAAATAATTGAATTCTGTTGTCATGTGGTGGTGTTGTTTTTGGCAGATGTCACTGAGTCTCTTTTGACTCACAGAGACTGTATGTACAACAGAAGGAAACACTGCCCAGTCCTACACCATCCTCACAGTTGTTGTTATGTCTGAGCCCATTGTTGCAGCCACTGTGTCAATCCATCTCATTGATGGTCTTCCTCTTTTTTGCTGACCTTTACTTTACCAAGCATGGTGTCCTTCTCCTGGGGCTGGTCCCTCAAAGTGTCATGTATCCGTCTAAAAATCTCACTGCAATCTGAGGCTCTCTTTCATTCATTATTCTGCTGATGTTCTCCAAACATATGCCCTCAGAGTCACTCTTCAGGTGCATTTTAAATTACCTGCATTTGTTTATTTTACCCTGTCGCAGCAACATATCAAACAATGTATTGCATTGGGCAAATCTGCTGAAAAAGATCTCTTTAAAGTGTTAAAAAGCAAAGATGTCTAAGTTGCGCCTGACCCAAGCCACGGTGTTTTCGGTTATCTCACATGCGTGCGAAAGCTGGACAGTGAATAAGGAAGACCAAAGAAGAATTGATGCCTTTGAATCAAGGTGTTGATGAAGAATATTGAATATACCATAGACTGCCAGAAGAATGAACAAATCTGTTTTGGAAGAAGTACAGCCAGAATTCTCCTTGGAAGTGAGCATCATGAGGCTTCATCTCACGTACTGAGAACATGTTATCAGGAGGGACCAGTCCCTGGAGAAGGACATCATACTTGGTAAAGTAGAGGGTCAACAAAAAAGATGAAGACCTTCAATAAGATGGATTGACACAGTGGCTGCAACAATGGGCTCAAGCATAGCAACAATTGTGAGGATGGCATGGGACTGAGCAGCTTTTTCTTCTGTTGTACATAGAGTCTTTATGAATTAGAACTGACTTGGGGCACGTAACAACAATAAAAAACAGCAGTCTTCTGGCGCAGGGTACTTTTTTAATTCACTTGCCCTAGCGTGTTCCTCTCTTTTCTCTCAACTTTTAAATTATATCTCCATAAATAAAGTATAAGACGTGTCTGAATGTACCTAGTATTTTCATTCTTTGGCTGTTTAGAAATTACTATGACCTCTTTACTTTTTCCCAAGGATCCCATCACATCCATGTCATCCTTCAGTTCTTTCTTATAAGTTAGCATTAAATCCAAAAAAAGTACATCCCTTTTTGTCTCCTATGCTCTCTTGGTGAATGAACACGTCAGTAAGAAAGCTCAATGTCTTATTAGACACTCTACTTTCACCAAAACTAGATTTTCAAGAGAAGCTCCTATGGTTGACGTCCCACGGCACTACTAGGTATGAACCTTGAGACACCTTAAAAATAGTTTCCGGGAAGGATTATATGAATCCATCTGACAGGCCCTTAACAAAATTAATTCCACTGGGAAATGGGCTTTTCAAAACTGAAAGACTGGAGGCAGAAATATTGTTCAGTGACACCTGGGCAGTGAGGGATTCTGTTCTCTCCCCTAGAGGAGAATGTGTTTTTGCTAAGACTTTGTTTGGCTAGAGAATCAGGTCAATATTTCTTTGTAGGGCGTAGACTGTGTCAGATCACTCCGAATGGAGATGAAATCTCTGAATATAAAAGGACTAAGGAAGAATGAAATGAAAACTCCTCAGATCTGGTACATCTCTCTCCTGTGCAAATAACAATCTCAGCAGCATCCTCTGCCTGCCCTTGATATTAGGAACTCAAGGGGACAAGTCTGGGTAAGCTGATGTATACAGTACCTGCTCCTAAGCTGTATGGACCCTTCACTTCTAATGAAATGTATTAGAGATCATTTTCTTACATAAAATAAACACTCTTCTAGTGCTGGTGTATTTGTGTGTGTGTGTGAGTGTGTGTGCATATGCACACATACACAAACACACAACTGGACATGTAAGCTTTTTGATACCAACAAGGAACTTGCCTAAAATGTTGCACTTGGTAACAGAAGTGAAATTGAGAAGTACATCATGCCGTGCTATTAGAAAGATGTTTAGGAAATTAAGGAGGAAATATTAATCTTCGGATGCTACAGCAGAGACTTAATAGTCTGTGGGATGAAAACATTAAAGTTGAGGGAAGCTTCTGCTGTGAAGTTTTATTTGAATTACTCCACTGCTCTCTATTTCGAATCAGTTGTGTCCAATGAATGGAACACCCAGTTGAAAGCAAGCTAGCCCGAGGCATAGTCCTTTCTATTCTCTCAACCATGGCAGCCAAGGAAGTTGAAAATCAAAGTAAGGAGAAGCGGCAGATGGCCCACGTGTCTGAAATGGCTAACCCTAACACCTCGAGAATAGTGATACAGGATATGACAGATGTTTCAAGGACCCTACCCTGGGTGGTGCAAACAGATACCGTGCTCATGCTAGGCTACTAACCAAAATGTGTGAAGTTCCAGTCCACCCAGAGACCCCTTGGAAGAAAGAGTTGGTGATCTACTTCCAAAAAATCATCCATCGAAAAACTCATGGAGCACAGTTCTACTCTGACACACATGGGGTCACCATGAGTCAGAGTCCACTGGATGACAACTGGTTTTATCCATGTCAGAAAACCAATGCCTGGTTGGATTTTAGGGACAGTGTGTCACACACTATTAATTAAAGCTTAGCCACCAAGTCACCTAGATGATGATGGTCTGATTCTCATACCTTTCGTGATTATGGTGGTTTATAGAAGGAAAAATTCAGAGTATGGAAATGGTCTATGATAATTCACATAAAGATTAAAATTTTTGTCCTAAAGATTTTGGTATAAAATATGTGTACTTCCCTTTATAAGAAAACCCTTAAAGTATACTACTGACTGGGTTGGTCTTGTGAGATAGGGGAGTTAATCTATAATCTAATTGTGTCTTTACCATTCCTGAGTCTTTCCTGCGAGTTAGCATTTTGAAAGTTACATGGGTATATAGAAGCTTTTTTATATAAACTGTCAGTTCTTAGATTTTAAAAATGTAATGTTAGGCGTTATTTGAAAATAATTCTTGTTATTCATTTAGGTGTAAATTTTGACAGTTAAAATCAACTTTTAAAAATTTGGACTGGAAAATACTGACATGATAAATATGTATGTGTATTTTTCTAAAGCCTTTAAGAAATTAGAGTTCATCATTAAAGCTACTTACGATAAAAGTTAATAATAATCCTAGAGCTTATGAAAATGAAGAGTTGAAGAAGAATTTTAGACAAACGCTCCTGAGCCTTTCTTTGTTTCTCTGCCTGCAACTGCGTAGGATTCTATCTGAAATACCAAGTGTTCTACTCACGTGTTTATCCTTTGGTTCACCGGAGAGAAGCTAGAATTTTCTTTTCTTCTCGTAGTTGGTTCTTTAGAAGAGTGAGCTCGGAAAGCCTTTGCTTCTGTCTGTTATTAATAGCGCTGTCTTTCACTTCCACTTTCAGAACGTCTGATTTGAACAATGAATTATACGACCACACGACGCTTCAGTAAAGCTATCAAGGGGTGTCGTCTGAACCTCTTTACTTTAGGACCCAGTCAAAGATTCTTGATCCAAGAGTTGCAAGAAGAAAAGAAAACAGAGACATACATATTTGAGGAAAATGTGTAAATTTGTTACACAGCTTAATATGAAAATATAGAAGATGATGTCCTCAATATTAGCGGGAAAGGGAAAAATGTATTAATATACACTCATATTAAAGCTATGTATTACTAAAAATAGAGGTAAGTTGCAAATCTCAGCGTGAACTCATGGTCTCTGCTCTTTCGCTAAAGTGGTCAGAATCTTCTATGTCACCCTGCTTTACCTCAGTGATTACGTGAAGCCAAATATTACTGACTCTAGGCACCCATATTTTGGTGTCTAAATTTGTTCTTTGGAAGACAACTCATTCTCAATATGTGAAATTAAAGTTCGCTGAGCCTAGAATATTTTCTTGGGAGAAAGCAACAGCAACAACAAAAAGATATGACTAAGTGTAAAAAGCTTAATCTATAAAAGGCTATAAATATTTGATGACACTTGAGATGGACCAATAATATGAGGGAGAAAGAGAAGTCACACACACTAATGAAAGCCAACCGTTTACTTGGTTACTAAAAAGATAACTGTTTGTAACACATAGTGCCTGGAGATACGACCACCCATCAAGGGTCAGTGAGAGAACTGCAGGAAGATCCGATTAATGGTCATGGTCTTCAACAAACACTCCCAGGACCACCCAGACACAGAGGTATTAAGTCTGATTATTGTGGTTTACTGCAGAGAAGTAAGCTTCCTGGGAGCTGGATAGCTGAAGCAGAGACATTAATGGAGCTATCTGGGCACTGACTCCTCATTATTTCCGTGGAATTAGGATGTAGTCTAGCTAATGGTATGTTTGGCTCAAGAATAGAGGCAGTATTGGATTTCTGTGAATATTTTCAATTTAAGCATGGATTATTCCGGAGTAGTTATTTCTGAGTAGCAAAGTATAAAGAGACTGTAGTGCAGCAAAAAGATTTGAGATTTTCAGATCTGGCAAGATGCCACCTGCCACTGACCCTTCACTGTATGCTGTGTGACTGCATGTTATGAACTCCGCAGCCCGAGGAGGCTGACTGAGATAGATTGTTTCGCATCCTGCTCTGAAGCCCCCGTTCTGCCCAATAATTTTCAGGACATCTAACTAAATAAACAGGATCTTAATCTAATCTTGGAGTGGGTGTGTTTATGTGGTCTCTTGTAGCCTGCCTGAAAAGGACACACTTTATTTTTTCCTCTCTCTTTTTTTATCCTTGCACAAATATTCTCCACTAAGATATCATGATTTACCTACACTGTCAACTGTTTTTCCATTTACTGTAGCTAACACTACCGCGTTACACTAAGATTTCATTAAATTACAGTTTTTTATTTCTTTATTACTGAGATATTTATTACAAAATCATTTATATGTTCGGTTAACTGATCATCTGTCAAGATGGTAGTACCTTTTATTAGGATAATAATTCTTACTGAATTAGCTTTTAAAACACTTAACTTTCTTTTCAATGAGATACATTATAATTTTTCTGCATATTATTTTTCCGCCCTAAATGATCAGCCCATGCTCTTACTTTCTACATCTTTCTTCCATGATTTCTAGAATAGGATCGGGGTTTGAGGACCTGGCTATCTGATTCGGAAATGAAACTTCTCATCTTTCTAAAGTTAAGAAAATCGGTTGTTGTAATTACCCAGTAAGACAAAGGAGAGAGATTGTACTCATTTCCAGGTTCAAACATAAATCATTGTTGAAAGAAGTGTTTACAGGGTGAAGCAAATGTATCTGATGCTCATTTATGTCATTTTCAAGCAGACAGAAAATCTTTTCCTTTTAATTTCTGAGCAGAGGTCCTTTCTCCGAAATTAAACTCCACTTTTGGACAGGTGGATCTTTGCCCCTGGAGCACAACTGATCACAATACATGCTTAATAGAAGGAATAATGTTAGAAACCAACATTCTTATTACTGTGATCAGATCATCAGGTAAGGTACTCTTAACTGTATTCAGTTTCAGAAACACATCGTCTGACTAATAGAGGTTATTTTACTTTCTATTATCTATACGATACAACACGAACTTTGAAGATAGCTTCAAAAAATGTAAATATGACCGTTTTAAGATGCTTTATGAGGAACATCCCCTTCCAGAGAACCTTCATAGATTACTATAGATAATCCAGTCATAACAATGATATCTGACTATAATCATGTGTTTTATTAAAAACTATTTCTTCCTTTTGCAAGGATAGAGATTAAATTTTATTTTATACTCTAGCGTGTAGCAAAAGGTAGCAATTCTATTTCTTATTTTTTATTCTGTTTTCAGTTCTACTTTCAAGACATAATTTTAAATTTAATAAAGGCCTTTTGCCAATTTAAATTTTTCTCCTAATTCTTAGAATAAAAATGTGTAAACAATATAAGCAAAGAGAGAGAGGGGTGTGTGAATTTTCTACTTATTCTGTGTTGTTAGGATTAGCTATGACATTTATTTTAACATATATGTAACTTTTGCGTAGTTGACTGTCTATTAAATAACAATCATAATTTAAACAAAAAGACAACCATAGATTTTCTAGTCTACTTACATTTTTGTTTAAATCCGAAGGGGGGAAAATAAGTGTCAAATTAGGAAAATCGTGTGTGTGTGAGTGTGTGTATATATTTATGAGGGAGAAAGGTGTGACAGTCTACTTGTGTAAAGACTGCAGCCTTGGAAACCCTATGGGGCAGGTCTACTCTGTCCTATAGGGTCACTGTTAGTCAGAATCGAGTGTATACATATATCATGTGTATAAATATATACATATATAGTGTGTATAGATAAATAGACAGACAGATAACTGCCGTCATCTCTGACTCACGGCAACTTTATCTACCACAGAATGAAATGCTGCCTGGTCCTGCATCATCCTCATGATTGCTGGTACGTTTCAGTTATAGCTGTTATGCCTATTGTGCCAATTTATTTTACCAAGAGTCTCCCTCACCTTCATTGGCCCTCTACTTCACCAAACATGATGTCCTCCTCCAGCGACTGATCCAGCCTTATGATGTCCAAAGCAAGTGAGTTAGACCATGTTCTGTTCTAATCCATTAGGTTTTCATTGGCTAATATTTGGAAGTAGATCGTCAGGCCTTTCTTCTTAGTCTGTCTTAGTCTGGAAGCTCAGCTGAAACCTGTCCACCATGGGTGACCCTGCTGGCATTTGATACACCAGTGGCATAGCTTCCAGCATCACAGCGACACCCAAGTCACCACATTATGACCAACTGACAGGTAGTAGACACACACACACACACACACACACACACACACATATATAGATAAGTATTATTCTTGATCTATAAAGTGCCTTAAAATTACTAAGTAAAAAGATAAGCACACCAATAAAAATGGACAAAGAACATGAACAGACGACTCACAGAACATATAAAATTGACAACAAAATAAATGAGACAATATTTAATCTGCTAGTATACAATAAATGGTAGTCAAAGAAAATAAGGCTAACTTTTCGACCTACTAGATCTGAAACTTTTTTTTATTTATCATTTAATGACAATAACCAGCAAAATTGGTTAAGACAATCAGCACTCACACACTGGTGAGTATGCAAACTTGTATAAACTTTGGGAAGAAAAATTGCAGTTTTACAAAAAAAATTTTTAAGTTTTTAAATATGCTTTATAAAACAATTTTTATGTTTAGTAGTTTATCATTAAAATATAATTAGGGCTATTTGCAAAGTTTTAACCACAAGGATGTCCTTAAAGGATTGGAAGCATTTTAAATATCCTGAGTGGAGATTGGTTAAATACATTATTATGCATCTAATCTACAGCTAATAAAATGGTGCAATAGAAGAACATGTAACATTATGCAAAGATGCTCATAATATAAAATTAAAAAATGATATTACGTCATCTAATTTTTTGTAATGAAAATTCTGTCTCTACATACACTCACACACACACATCTGTCAGAACTTACACCTAAAATGCTAATAGTAATAACAATATTAACAGTGATTATAAAACAGTGATACTAACTTCCTTTTGCTCATTAATATTTTTTGCATTTTCTATATTATCTATCGATATAATAGGAGCCCTTGTGCTGCAGTGATTAAGAGCTCAGCTGCTAACCAAAAGGTCAGCTGTTGGAATCCACCAGCCCCTCCTTGGAAAACCTATGGGGCAGTTCTAGTCTGTTCTACAGGGTCACCATGGGTCAGAATCGAATCAACGACAATGGGTTTGGTGTTTTTGGTTTTACATAATAGGATAATATTATGAGACATCAAAATAAAATGCTTCCCTCAAAAACTTTTTTGTCCTAATCACTTACCCCACCATTTAGACTACATCAGTGACTTTCAACACAGACTAACTTCAGAGGGACAGAAAATGTAGGTTAGAAAAATCCAGTGAGTTAACATTCTGAATGTACTTTTAAAAATTGATGGCAGAAACAATAAAGCAAAGCCTTCTTTTTCAAGAGCCAGGCTTTGCTGAGAAAGAAAAACAAAACACCAAAAATCAGAAAATGTATTTCCAAAGGCTAGAGCCTAGAGGATTTTTTTATTAGATTCTGTTATAGATTAAATTATGTCCCGCCCAAAAGATATGCTAAAATCCTAGTCCCTATATCTGTGACCCTGTTTGGAAATACGGTTTTCTTTTGTTAAATTAATGAGGTCGTACCAGAGTAAGGTGGGTCCAAAACCTAATCCCTTCTGAGTGGAGTCTTATAAAAAGAGGAGAGTAGATACATACCCTCAGGGGGAAGAAACTATGCGAGGAACTCTCTACAGCCCAAGGAATGCCAAGAAACACCTGGGGTACCAA